GCTAGTCTCTCAAAAAAAAAAAAAAAAAAAAAAAAAAAAAAAAATACATTTCATACTATGGATAGATTAACTGATAAATAATAAAATAAAAAAGAATACATAAAAAGAAAGTCTGAATGGTTTCAGATTTTAAATTACGTCCAAAGGGGCGTTTTTTTAACATTTTGTGTGTTACCTTTATTTATTAAATATCATGTTCTTCGCACTTAAACCATAAAATTCAGTTCAAGAGCAATAGCGCAAAATAATTTTAAATTGAGCATACCATCAGAATTTCCGATACACAGTCTCACGCGCTGGAGATGATAAAAATGTTTTTTTTTCTGTACAACTTTGTCATTTCTCGCTTTGAAAGCCTTGAGCTTGTTAATCTAAAATTCGCTAAAGTTTTACAAAATATGAAATCGATAATAAAACAAATTCTAAATTTGGGCTTCCAGATGCCCATATTCGCAGTAGGATTACGTCATTCAAAATTGGATGGCTCTAGGTACTATTGTTTTATACATACATACACTTATGCAAATTTTTCAGTATTTAATTTCTTCAAATATAATACAGGACGATAATATTTGGTGGCAACAATTTGAAAAGTGAAACGGACATTCAGAGTGATTCAACGTAAAATCGCAAAACAAAAACAATACTCCCTCGGGAACAAAGTTTCTTTGAACTAATAATAAATATTGTTGCTAGATTAATTAAACAGCAGTATAAAATAACAGCCTTTACTGCACCAATAGTGCAGCTTTCACGTGCCATCTTTGCTAACGATCAGGCATTTTCTAATACAATAACGAAGGTATTTACTAATACTTTTTAACGATTAGGCCATCGTTATTCTATAAAATAACTAGTTATATCGCAGAATTCAATAATTTTATATACTTTAACTGATTCATTAAGGTAATTAATGATATATAGTTTTTTTATGAAACAGCGAATTCCAGGCAACATAAATAAGGGACTAAATCGAGCTGTGAACAAACTATTAGTTTTCAGTCAGGGACAGATGAAATCGTTTAGTTCCACAGACGGTAATCATTAATACATTAAAACAGAAAAATTGTATTCCCTTTCTTTTCTTCCGGGGAACCTACGCTGAAACTTGATCTCTTTCCAGAACGGTCCGAAACAAAACTGTTTTAGAATGAGTAGGGGAGAAATGAGATCTTCCCAGAGGCATCTTGAAAAATTCTCTTTTCGAGATGACCTTGGTAAGGTGCAGCTAGCTCAGCGCCTTACACTTAACAACTCCCTCAACACGACCCGCTATAACCCTCCTGGTTAAATGAGAATTTGGCTGTTTTCCCAAACTCTGTATGGGGATATTATTTGGGGAGATTTTAGAGTTCCTTTTTCCGTTCTTTATTTTCCGGGTGACATTTTTTCCGGTCCTAATTTTCCTGGGACATTCTTTCCGTTTCCCTTTTTTTGGGTGACTTTTTTTCCGCACACCTTATAAAGTTGATAGAGTAGATAGGAATAGATAAAATTTAGAGTTTTAAAAAGGATTGAATGAATAAATGTCTCTTTAACAGTTGATTATAGATTCATGGCTCTAGTTTAAAAAATAAATCAAATAAGGTAGATTTCCCGACGATGGAAATTTTAATTGCTTAACACATTTTGAAAGTTTCAATTAATAGTTTGTTCAGGTCATTCATTTTGCTACTTAAGATTATTTTCAAAAAAAGACCTGCCTCAGTGGTATATCTAGAAACATAAAATAGATATGGTATATATATGTGTGTATGTGTGCCATGTTGCAGACTTGATTGCATAGATATTGGCCTAGTGATCCATAATGAACAGCAAACATGGCAACTGAGGCATAAAGTATTAATTTTTATTGCAGTTGACATTTGCAGCCACTTCGCTAGGCACTCTAATCAAGCCCATTTCAAAACATTTACATTAATAGCTTTGCAGAAGAAGGGAAGCAGCAAGCAGTAACCTAGTTATGCCGAGGGCAGAAAGCAAGTTTTTAGTTATCCAGTAATAAATGAGCATCCAGTAATCCAGTATGAAAGCTTATTAAAAGAAAGGTTTCAGTTTAAAATCTGAAATAGCTACATAATCATCATTATGTAAAAAATCATAGGATAGGATTAATCTAGAAATGACATTGTCTCAAAAAAGATATTACTATTTTTAAAATAGAGTGGGGGAAGTCCTCAAATTAAAATGAGGAATTAAGAGTCTATTTCTAATTTAAATTATAATTTTGATTTATATATATTTTATCTTACGTATTCCCTTCAAAGAGAAAAAAGTCTGGATGACAGAAAAGCCTGTTTAAGAGATAAATCACTAAAGCATTAACAAGTGATGAAACATAATTTGAAAACAAGTCATAAATTTTAACCAAAGCAATTATTTAAATAATTGAATAATAAAACTTTGATAACAGTTTTAGTCTTGTCAAAGTGTTCAGACTAGAAGTCTCTGTGTTTGAGTCCATGTAATCATATTTGTTCAAGGCAGGCTTTCCAAAACCTTTCACATAATATCATAAGTATAAAAATTTTATGCATCCATTTCTTATTTTGAATAATCACAACAAATTTCCAAACTTCATTAAATAAGTAATTTTCAGTAATATAACTTGCATTTTAATATCATTTGTAATAATAGTACTGAAATTATGTTTATTGTATCTCTAATTTTCTTATTTTACACAAACTGGAAAACCTCACAACTTTCTCCAGGTATAAAAGTTGAGCAAATCTACATTAACTGATATATTAATTCACCAATGGTTAAAGGGATGTTCTGGCAATTGTTTAAAAAAACATAAATAAAAATAATTCTATATTAAAAAATTACATTTTTCCATAAGGTGAGAGCCTTCAAAGTTCATATTGTATGAGGAGAGTAAAAGGATCACTTGTACTGAGGTAAAAACTGGCTTCTGTTTTTGAACCAGTACTCCTTAAACATACTCAATCTTTACATGCAATTATTTATTAATTATATGTTATATAATTATCAATTCATTATAGCATTTACTTATCCATAATATCAAGTTAATTTTACTTTTTAGTTAGATTAGTCATATAAACTATCCAATCCTTACTTATAATTTACAATTGCCATTCATTCAAAATATTAAAATCTATATTATATAAAACTCACTTTATATTATACTCAAATTTTTATCACTCTATTTATGCATATTCAAATTTTTTCATTTTTCATATTCAGTTTATCCTCAAAATAGTAGAAATCTTTCTAATTTTTAAGAGTAATTTATTCTTAAATAATTTAAAATTCTTAATAATAAGTTTTACAATATTCAAAAAGCTTATACCACTTTAATAACCTTTCATAAATAAAATAATTACATATCTTTGAATTCAGTACTTAATTTTTTTAATATCTAAAAATAAATTACTAATAATGTAAAATTTCAATCAGTATGGTTTTCATAATACATTGCAGCATGTTAAAATTCAATATGACAAGAAAAAGGGCATTACTTACTCAACATTTAAAAATAGTAATGATTATCAATTTCTATATGACTATAATATACAAATTCTAGCTGCACTAATTAAAACCTTACTTTATAACACTTAGTGCAAAATTTTAAAATCCATAGTACTACTTCAGTTTTTTGCTTGCTGGACATATTATTAACGACAAAGAAAGAAAGTGAAAATAAATTTATCAAACAAAAATTTAAAATGCATTCTTGAAACAGAGATTAACAACCTTCAGAAGCACTGAGAATGCACAGTTGAAATGATTTGGAACATTCATGCCCTTAGTCCTTGAAAACACTCATTAAATCACTTTTAATATAAACACTATGCTGGATTAATTTTTGAAGCACTGATTTTTTTCACTTCAGAACATTGAATAAATCAAGAGTGATATTTCGTATGGATGCAGAATAAAATAATCAAATATTCAATAATCCTTTTCATACATTATGTCTAAGACTGAACTTTGTACATTAAGTCAATTATAAATTTCGTTTAGTTTTGCACAGCGATTTATTCTCTCACTTGTCTTAAATTCTGTAAAATGTGACAATGCTGATCAAGATACCTGACCACAAACAAATCAAGAGGGAATTTGCACTGAATCTAATTTTCTAATTAATTACTTCATTGTGTGACAATTTTGATAATGAAAAGTGGGTGTAATAAATAATAGTACTATATACAATTTCATGGTTTATTGCATATAAGGTGTATGAGTTTGTCTAAATTTCCTGTATCATAAGTCATTTATTTAAAATATTGAAACATAGACCTATGTTATATTTTATGGGTTTTCTTCATTCAATATATCAAGCTTACATTGTATGTTATTAGTAGTTATTTCAGTTATTGTAGTATAAATTATGTATGCATAATTGAATTTTTTATATCATGTATCATTATCATGAGATTAATATAGTTATTTTTACATTTGTACATTTTAAGTGAATAGTACTTATGAAATACACAGTGTTGTAATGATGAACTCTAGCTATGGTTATTACTATAATTACATTATAATTCAAGTATTATTGACTATGTTTTCTGAAATAATCAATGTAAATAAAATATAATAAATGTAGTTTCTACCATAAATTTAATATACATGGTAGATAGTTAGGAAAGTATTAATACTTTTCTAAATATCTATCATAAAAGGAAGAGGAGTATTATATAATAATGAAAAATAATTATATAAATTTGTATTAGCTCTAACAATTTCTTCATGTCTCACACCAATACAGAAATATTTAGCAATGGATTGATGTCTCTTTTAATGTGTGATCAGCTGAAATAAATACTACAAATTATAAATGGTATTTCAAAATTATGTTAAAAAATATAACTTAAATCTAACAACTGAATAATGTATGTTATCGAATAAAATCTAATGAATTTATAAAGTATAATGTTAAAAGTAATACTATTGGAGAACAGATTGAGCCATTATGCTTTCTATTCAAAAAATGGACATTTATATTGTATTTTTGAAAAAAACTTTCATTTTAGGGCGCATTAGTAGGCTTAATTACTGGCATCATAGCAGTTCTGTGGATAGCAGTGGGATCATTTCTGAGCAAAAATCCTAAGAATTTTGCTCCATTTTCTGTTGAAGGCTGCACAGATTTATACTTTAATACTACGGGAAACATGTGGAATGAAACTATAACTACAGGCATACAGTATTTTTCCAATAAGTAAGTAAAAACAGTTCAAGTAAAAAAGTAAAAGTTAAGTTCAAGTAAAAAATATTTGTAATAAATATTTTAAATAATTTTAAAACAAATTGCTGATTAATATTCTTTTATCATTGTAGCATTAGAACTTGTTTCATATCGTATGATGCAGAATAAATCATACGTCTTTTTTAGAATACCGATGACTTTATACTTCCTCTTATTTGTCTGTCATAATTCAGATTATTATAAAAGAACTTTTATTATAGTTATGCACATGTAACATAGGGCTCAAATTATTTTTAAGGCTAATTTTATTGATAACATGCTTGCCTAATTTTTAAAATGTAAATGCTTATGGATTTTTATGATTATGTACTGCTGTTTCAAAATTTGTAATTCTCATCATTATGCAGTTTAAGTTAATTAAACTTAAATGTTAATACAGATAAATACTTTACAAAAATTATAAAGTTGTTTTGAAATATAATATTAACTTTGTACCTTAAACTAAACCCCAATGCAAAGTCTTAGCTTCTGCAAGTGTTTGTGCTTTAGAGCAAGTACACAAAGTAGGTAGCCAATCTATCCTAAAATGTCATTGAATAGCCCTCTCTGCTGGGATTATTGTTGAATTTATACTCATATTCTTCTTCATCCACTGGATACTATACAGATTTTAGAGGGAAATTTAGTTTCCTTCTTGAATTGTGTTGCAAGTGATTGCATGAAATTCTAAATGACTAATTATGTAATTACGTTGCTCTTAAACAACAGTCATTACTAACTTTTATTGAGAAAGCTTCCTGTGTTTCAAAAATCAAATACATTCACTTATTTTACTATAGACTGCATTTGTTGAAAGGTACTAGTTATTATGTTTTATTGAATAATTGATTTTAACATGTAGTTAATTAGTTTCATTCACAAGGTTCTCAAAGCTCTCAAAATTGCAAAATATATGTTAGAAAATAGAAATGCTGAGTTTTTTCATGATAAGTTTCCATGAAGTTTTTTTTTATATGTAGTTTAAAAAAAAACTTTTGACCAGATTGGATTATTTAATTATGGCAAATCACCTGGGGCTATCTGCCAACTTAAATGTGTGCTTTGTACAACCAAGAACATAAATGTTATTGAAGCAAAATTTAACTACCCTGAAAAAGAAATAATTTAAAATATTCAGAAATCAACATGCATATTTTCAGATGAACGATTATTGCATGCCCATTTATTATATTTCTTATCTTCATGTCTTCATTAAAAAATTACAGTGAAAAAGCTGATTTCTAATTCTCCTCCTAGAGGAATAAACTTTGAGGCTTGGTTTATTAAAAAAAAAAAAAAAAAATCGGTGGTCATCAAAGAAAATGTTTTCTATGGTATTATATTATTGATAACTATGGCTAGTCCTATGTACAGCTGTTAAGAGCATCCAAACTACTCACTACTTTTATGGCTTTCTGTCATGAAAAAGCACTTTGCAGAATTTTTATAGGGCAAACTGAATTGCAACAATACGTTATGATGAAATATTATTGATATGTACTTATAAGCATGCAATATAATTGGATATTTTTGGTTTTATATTCACCATATAACTTGTGCCCTAAGACTTCTGCTAAGAACATGCATATACATAGTTGTGTTTTATGTTTGTATTGCAAATTGTGTAATGAAACTTTTATAGTCGAATATTTGTTAGCTACATAAAATGAACTTTGTGAAACTTCTTAATACCATAACAGACAATGTCATATCTGTTTATGTTGTTGAATATACCTGTATGTACTAGCACAATAGCTCATTAAACCCAAATTCTGCCATGTAAAATACCTAAAGCACAAATTAAACTGTGCTTAACTATTAAAAGTTCATTGTAATCTTATAAATTTTTGCTAGCATAACAGTTTACTAATTTATGATACTTATGTGTTGCAGGCAAGACATATTTTTCATCTATCGTTTGTCTTACATGTGGTACAGTGCAATTGGTTGTGCTCTGGTGATAATTATTGGCCTCATCATAAGTTTTCTAACAGGTAATTAACACACTACATGTAAAATTCACTATTACATTAAGTATAATATACTTGTTTGTAATTCAAATATGTATATTTGTAGTACTTTCATTATACTTTATCTCTTATGACTGTTTATCAATTTTCTATATAGTCTAACAATGCTCTGTATTCATCTTATTTCATTCATAAAAGTATGTATTTAACTTTTGCTTTAGGTCCTTATGGCAAAGATGATGTGAAACAAGATCTTATTAGTCCTGTCACAAGGAAAGTTGTGGCATTATTTACAAAAGTACAACATAATAAAGTGAGTTGCAATAATAATGTTTCTCTAAATAATCTTTAATTAAATAAGTTAGTTTGTGTTAAATAATAACAGAAACTTTTGTATGATTGTGATTAAGATTATTCTGTTTTAACATTTTAAATTATGATTGAATAGATTTATTCTTAGTTGAGATTTTAAGATAGATTTTATTTGCATCAGATCTAATAACTATTTATATTTTATAATAGTTTACCCCTTTTTTTACTTAGTATTTCCAGATTTTGGTACTTTCACAAGTCATTTCTTTTGTTAAAGTTTCATGTTTAGAAATGTGTTGAAACATTAATGTTTTGTTATTTGCTAAAATTACATAGTAAGTAAATTCTAAAGTTAAGGTACTACACCTAATCATTGTCTCAATTTATTCCAGTCTGTGTTCCCGGTGGAAATGGTACCTAATAGCAACATTCATGATCCCCGTTTCAAGACTTTGAATGGTAACAAAAATATCCCCAATGATGGTGTCACCAATATTGCATACATCAGTGAAACAAATACACCTACACTGACAAAGGCAACAAAAACAGCTCCTAATATATATGCTGCAAGAATGTGAAAAACTAAGTGTTTCATCTTCAGTAATACTGCACAGACTTGGTAAAACTTTCTTAATAACCATGTCATGTTGACTAGTGACAGTTATAAAAAATACTTCATGCTGAAAATCTTTATTGATTTAATACAACATTTGTTCATGATTAATTTGAAAGATTTATTTATTGTACAGAAGTTTTTTTACCCATATATCAAATGCAAAATGTGTATACTGTTTGATGTTTTTATGTCTTGTATTAATTTTCTTCTTTCATTTGAAAGCAGGATATTTATAACGGAAATTTTAAACGAATTTGCATCCAATGAATAGAAAACAAATCTTTCAACTTAATGCTTAAGAGCTGTTGTTAATGGTTGTAGTTATATCACCTAATAGCAGTTATGTAGGCCAACAAAACTCAGAAGTGAGAATATTGAGTTTATAATATTTACAGCTTGATTTTTCCCTTCTTGCTACTTCAGGTCTAATAACCATTGTTTTTTTACTGTTGAGGTAGATATTGTCTTTGTATCTAACACATGGCTGTATTTTTGATATTACTACAATGAATATTCTATGACTAAGAGATTCTGAGCAAAATTTAAAGCTGCCAATTTATGAATTGTACAGTAATCACTTAGCAAGAGTAAAGATTTTATGTAAACTGGAGAAATGTAAAACTTTTGAATTGTTGTTGATGTGACAAGTAAAGAAAACATAATTACTGGACAAAATTGTTTTGCATTGTATTTTATCTATAAAATATTATTTAAAAATCAAAATTTGTAATTAAATATTTAAAAAGCCTTGGTGTTTTAGATTTCTGATTAAGATATATTATTGTATATTTATAAGCCAGGTAGAAATATTTCAATAAAACGAATTCATGAATTTTTAAGGCATTCTTCATGTCAACAGAACAAGAGACAGTTTAAAATATGGATTTAATTCTGATGACATTCTGTATCCTCTGAGTATGATGACAAGAAGTCAAGTATCTGATCAAATGTGGTGGCGATAGTATTAATTTAGAGAAATAGAGTTCTAATTGCATTTTAACTTTTTTAACCCATAGTTTCACACTATTTTATTTTTGATTTCATAAATCTTGCCATTACTGCCTAAATATATTTTCAGACAAATTTAAGTGCTGAGAGGTGTCAACCTCAAAATTTATCAATAATATCAAGAACTGATCATTACCTCAAATAAATAAAAAAATTTATTATAAAGTATGAAAATTGCTGAATATTGGTAGCTCTATCCTGTTTACATCTTGATAAAGGAGATTGCTGTATGAGGATTTTCATGGTTTTCCTTGTGTGCAATATGAACATAAGCAAGCCTTCATTAGAAAGGTCTTCCATGAAGACAACGCTTCACTTTGGCAGATTTCATTTGCTTTGCTGCACTCAAAACCATCTAATAGTATGACTAAAATATGGCTTTGATATGTAATTTGAAATAATTTCTGAATTCAATATATTTTTATACTTCTAACTTTTATATTTGTAGATCTGATTTAGTGAACTTAAATAGTTCATCTGTCCTTTTGTATAAACTCGTTCATTAGCCACAGGACCAATCTTACTTTAAGTATCTTTTTTATTTATTATGTGCTCCACCTATAGGCACTAAACGGAAAGGAGGCATACTCTGCAGAAGACTTTTAAGGGAAACTGGCTCCTATCTACATTATACATGGAGAAAACCACGAAAATGCCTATGCAGCCAGCCTATCGCTGGGATTTGAACTTTGGACTGAACTCCAAAGTTCAGTGGCTTTTACTACTCAGTTGCAGGTAGGCCACAATTAACCCTTAGCGCTCCGCACGTTTCTGTACTACCGCCTACCAGCAACTCCGGCACATTTTCGCAGCGGAACAAGTGTGAAGAAGGAGTCTTAATTTAAGTGTGAAGAAGGAGTCTTAATTTAAGTGTGAAGAAGGAGTCTTAATTTAAGTGAGAAGAAATACATATGCTTGTGAATGTTTTTGATTTTTTTTATTTTATACATATGCACTTTCTTCTTGTAAATGAAAAGTAAATTTTAAGTTTTGTCATTCACCAGGGTGTGATATCTTTGGAAACAATCTCCTTTGTGCATTCTGGGTTTACTTGGGCAAGTGTCACAGTATTCACTTGTTTGACGTCTGCCATCCGTTTGTGTCCTTGTAGAGCACACAACACAGTCTCTCTTTGGACCTTTCCTCATTATGTGCAGTTTTCCGTTTAGTCTTATTTCAGAAGTTGATGTAGAAACTCTTGTTCTCTTCTGACGAAAATCTCCTATGAGTTGATCGACTAAAATTTTCCTGTACTTTAAATGCGTCAATGCTTTCTCATTTTTATTATGCTGTGCAGTTTTATACAAGATGTGTGAATTAATTATTGACACCTCCATTCCCCAAAAGAATAGTTTCCACCACCACTTAAGTGACATCCTCAAAAAGCAATAACTGGAGGCGTATTAATCAGCCCGATCAACACCACCCATCGACTTTGTGTACCCGACAACTACACTTGGCTTTTCGATCACTTCATTTGTACCACCTCGAATAAATCTATTAGTGGTTATCATTCCAGCATTATGCCAGTTGCTCAATAACGTTACCATTCTCTTATCCCTCCAAGGTAAGAACATTGTATTTCCTCGTTTGTATGCAACAGTTTTTTTTCTCTTAATTTTGGTTTCTTCAGACTTGTTTCAACACTTTTTCTGTTTATTTGTATGGTACCAGTCAAGTGGCATTTCATTTTTCATAATTCTTCAGCTAAGGTTATACTAGTGTAATACCTGTTGGTATGCATATAATATCCTTCTGCGGTAGGTACCCGATCTAATAATTGTTGGTACAGATGCAGGGTAATTCTGGTGCTGACCAGTAAATCTCGCCTTGGCAGTTTTTCGGAAGTGATACTTCCATAATACGGAAGAATGCTATACACATATCTAGTTTCGGAATCTGCTAAGAATGTATGTTCGAATGCCCCGCTTGGTGGGTTTATTGGGATTGTATGTGAGGAAGCTTATCTTTCCTTTGATTATAACTACAGATTCGTCAATGCATATGTTTTCTCCAGGTATAAAACAGTCTAAAAATCTGGGGTTTATATATTCAAAAAAATTAGATGCTCGTTGAATGCGTGTTCAAATGTCATTTTTTGCAGGATCCGGTGTTTTTAAATGCAGCATCCAGAGTATCTGCATAAATCTCTTTCTTGTAAATATTTTACCAAAGAAAGGGATGTGACTATTCTCCTTAACTGACCAATAATTCTGCATATTCGCCAGGGGATATCGTACCCATATTGATAATGACTCCAATAAAAGCCCAAAACTCATCCTCTTTCCACCACATGCCATGTTTTCCAAGTAGAATTACTAGATCATTTTTTTAGTCTTTAATCCGGATGTCCATAATTGTTGGTTTTCTTTTATAATTTCATTTACCATTTCGTTTGTGAAAAACAATTTGAAATATTGTGTCGGCTGTACAATATTTGTAGGAATTTGTGGTCCAGTGACCTTTGGCGATACACTAAAATGTATTCTATCCGGAATATCTAATTCTTCCTTGACATCGCGCCATTCATCTAAGTCTTCCGGTGACTCTTCGCTTTCACTTTCAATAAGTACCATTCGTCGTCTCTTTAGTAGTATAATTTCGGAACCACTACTTGAAGTGTCAGAATTATAATCAACATTGTCTTCCACAATATCTTCTAACAATGAAAAATCAAACACATCTTCACTATCACTCAACTCTATATTCTCATTACAATAATTATTTTTCTCCATGTTGCTAACCATAAAATGGGTCAAATAATGTTTCACTCATAACAGTAGCGAGACTGAGCACGTTTTAACTACAGATAACAATTGCAAACGCCGACAATTCTGTAACGTCTTAAGCCTAATCATGCTAAAAACATTGGTCTCCGCAGCGGAGCCTACGGAGTTACGGAGCAAATGACGGACGACTCCGTAGCGGAGCCAACGGAGCGCTAAGGTTTAAGTATAATGGGAATTTTTCTCCAGAGAATTCAGTGGCTTAGCTGTGTTCTTTGGAATGCTATAAATTCTGTTCTTGTACATTTTTAGGCATAAAACTTGTTGATATGTTTAAAAAATTTTAAAACATGTTTTTTATAAGTATTGAGAACTCTGAATCAACTCCAGACGAAGAAAGATTGTGATTTTACCTTTTTTTAATTTACAGGTTTTTGAAGTAATATTTGATTTATTCAGAGCTCAGATAACCATGCTATAGATCAAACTTTGGAATAATTTGAGAAATAATAGAATATGTTTTAAAGTTAATTTCAATCTCTTACCTTAATTTCTTTTCCTACTTTATATAAATACAAGTATTATATTTCATGTATAAAGTGTAACTCTGCTTTTCAAAGTAATTTTGAGCTTTCACAAGTTTATGTCAGCAATCCAGGCAAGACTGTTTAATATCGGCATTGAAAACCCAGTGAACCTACTTTATACTGATAGAGCTGCTGAGGTTGCAAAAGCTGTCTCTGACAGCTTCGGAGCTATATAATTGCACTTTGTCATAGACACGACATCATCATCATTACAAGTTTATGTGTGAAAGGTAAATTTGATGTAACCAGCATTTGACCTGATTCTGTAACTGGGATGTACAAAATGAAATATTGGCGTAGATAACAGCTAACATATTGTATGAAATTAAATGAATTTGGGTTAATGAATCGGTAAAACCCTATATTCACTCTCAAAAGTAATTTTTTAAACATTTAAGCTGTTATACTTGAGGAATTATCTATTTATTTTTAACTAATAGTTAATTTTAAGTTGAAATTACTTTTTTGTCACTCTCTTTTCACCCAAACTTTTCATGCCGGAATGTAAATGAGATATCGAGCATTCATTCAGATTGAAGGGAAAGATGTGTTGTTTAAGTAAAGGTTTCACAAATGAATTTTAGAGCATGTTCTGCCTGTTTCAGGCTACGTTATGCTGTGACTTATTAGTGATTTGATTCAGTGGCATTGAGTGCTTCTAACGATTAAGCTTGTCTGACTGGTTTTCTACAAACCAGAGTCTTTCCTGCGTATTACTTTATCCTGTGAACTATTAGGCTAATTTATTACATTTGATTCAATTCAACATTACATGTTCAAGTTAAGCCAGAAGTGTTGGCTTGTTTGAACTTAAGTTGGATCATTCTTATTCTTTATGTTCAAATAAAAGGGTCTTATACAACCTTCTTCTGACTTTTGCTTTGTTCCCAAAGACTAGAAGAAAGTTCTTCAATAGTCTGCAATAATTTATGCTGTCCAAGAATACGAGACTTTACATATTAATACAAGGAAATTAGAGAAATATGTAGCTGTCTGGGTGATTTTAACAAATTTAGAAGGTAGAAAAATATAATTTATTTCTGAAAATTAAATAACATATTTAAAATAAACACTTGACTAAGCTTTATTATTTCGAATTATTTCTCCTTTTACAATACTAATATAATTTTAAAACTTTATGGTATAAATTTCTCGGATGAAGAAATTAGAACATGAAGTTTATTGCTTTTTACTATAATTCATCACTGATTATAAGCCCAGTGTGTAAGTTAAGGTTAAAATGATGAAATTATTGAAAACGGCATAGCAACAGCATCTTATGATTAATAAAAAGCCAAATTTTCAGACTCATATTTTCTCCAGCTTTTGGTATTTGATAAAAGACACTAAAATATTTCCATCTTTAAGGGAAATTCTACGATTTACATATATATATTTTAAAAATTGTATTCCAGGGAAACAGAGCC